CTTGCTAGAAGAAGACAAAACTCACCTACGGAAAGATATTCGAAATGCACGGTACTCAAATTTTGTGTTAGAAGAAAGCTTCTCTGTAATCGGAATGTCCTTAGAAACACGATTTGTAATAAAATTTATGAACGCAAAAGATATACGATTTGTTTCGTGCTTAAGAGACTAAAGGTAAACATTAGACAATGGTATAAAAATTTTCATTACATGATCTCTATTATCGGTCGTTAAGCATAGATACGGATTAAATAATCCGTATAATTTTCGACTTTCTTATCTCATTTCTTTTTCCGTTTTATTACTATTTGTAGTTAATTTCCGATTCCTAGTTATGCATACGTTTTTCAAGCTTTCGTGTTACTCATACGCAACGAAATCTCAACAAATTTACTATTGAAATAAGTTGAAAAGTGTCATCGTTATTATGCTTTAAGTAACGAATAAATTCATTTCTTGCATTTTCTTTGTATCCTTTCTCTTTCCCTTTCCCTTTCCCTTCCCACTGCTTTCTGCATCTTATATGATTCTTCTCCTTGAAACTATTATGCATTTGAATATGCGTCGACTATAAATAACGTCTCTTCACTTATCGTGTTTGTGACCATAACATTGACATTTCATGATCTATTTCTATTTAGTATGCAACACACAATCAAATGTTGACATGTCAGCAACAGCTACAGCACACCATAATGCATTGTATGGCTCTTATCAATACTTCAGTATATCATAATGTGATTTTCACGATTGTCTCGCTTGCTGTTACTTACGTTCGTTCGCACATTCGCTCAAACACACTCACTGTCTATTTAAGTCTTGACATTTGTTTTGTTTGCGCGATGGCAACAGCAATAATAAAATGTAATCTTTTACTTGTCCTTCAAGAGTCATTTTACGGTGATTACGTCACATTATTGTATTACCTTATACCCGTATATATCGATTATCGCGAAGTCCGGTGGAGTTGTTGTCGATGCTAGTAGGAAGGATGGCGGTGGCACTAGTTGTGGCAATAAAAGCATTTTATTTATGTGCAGCGTCGCGTTTACAATTGAACCTTTCATATAACTTTCGAACTGTATATCGAGCATGTAGCGTCTATGAGACGCCAAAAATTTTCATATGAAAACAGTCGCTTGCCATTGTCATGTACTTTGATATTATTGTTATTGTAAGGGATGTTGTTATTATTCTTATTCTTATTGCTTTAGTTTTTGTTTTTGTTATTATTATAATTGTATTCACATTTAAGCATAACGCCACGACTTAAGGAATGCATTTCATTGTGGTCAAACAATTATAAACATTTTATCCTGTTTTGTATCCTTTGAATGCAAATAAGAGACGACTGTAAAGCAGTAATATTAAGGATAATAATAATAATAATAATAATAATAATAAAAACAACAATAATGCACACGCAAGACAATACACGATCGTAAATAATCATAAAGTTTACAGTTTACAGTTTACTGTACAACAATGTACATGTGTACATTCTTATATACATGCAGTTACACGTTTGGCTTTGCATGCACACGTCCGTACATTTAAGAGTATGCGCTCACCTACTCATTATTGCAACGAATAAAATGCAATTATTTTAGGGTAAAAATTTTACTTAAATAAATATATATATATATATATATATACAAAAAGCAAAGAAACTCAAAAAAGAAATATGTAAGTAAATTATGTTCGCTTTAGGGAGAAATATTGATATCCATACAAAAAAAAAACAAGAAAATATGCAGAGTTGTTCTGCATGAAAAGGTCATACATAATACATTGTAGATTGGAACTTTCAACTTGGCCTAGGAAATATTTGTTTCAGATCTTAGTTCAATATTACCTATAGGCTGAATATTATTATTTTTGCGTATTTTTGATGGGTTCGTAAGCGGGCAATTCTCTCACTTAAGTGTTAAACCGTTGTCGTTAACGCTTGCATCAAGTTTCAGATCAGTGTCTCTCATAAATTCAAAATTAACTTTTTTTGTCTACCTTTGGAGTATTTGGGTGGATTCATGACCAAATCAGAATTAAGAATGTATATGCAGGGTTTTGATATTCAATCATTATTACTTCAAGCCGGTGGAATTCAAAGAATGCTTGAGAGGTAGACGAAGAGATGGATAGACGGATATATGGATAGTTGCAGAGACAAACAGTCGGACGGTTGCACATAACTATTTCGACTCAGAACCTCAAGCTGATTGAGAAAACTTTGTGGAACGTTGGGCAGGACAAATTTTAATGTACGTAAATGTTCACTTGTCCGTGCGTCCGTTTGGTCTTCTATCATCTGCTGCTGTACATCTGATAATCGCAATGAGTTGCATGCACATTATTAGACAATGACGAAAGAAGTTCCTTAAAAATGGGCCTAATCGGCCTATAAGATATGATACGATAAGATACGATTGAATTTTTTCTCAATTTTTCAGTTCAGTTCTAATCTAGCAGAAATTTCTTCAGGAAATGCAAGAATAGTAATAATTGGATATACACTCTGGGTATCACTCTGGGTTTATCAAACACGACCATGGTGTAGTAGCATTGAAAAATGGATTTATTGTGAAGAATCTTCTTTTAGGCAAATTACTTCGTATACTGATGTGTAGCTCCTTTTTTATAAATAAGAAAGAAGAAATATTAACAATACGTTCCCATGCGACATCATGGATTTTTGCAGCGATGTAAAATTTGTTACGATATCTTATTTTCTTTTCTTTTATTTTTTTTCTTTTTTTGGAAAGATTATGGCTTAAAATTAATAAGAAGAAAATAATAGAACGAAGCAAATCCAATTTGAAATGAAACTGAATGCATTGATAAAATTATAAGATAAATTCTAAAATACGTTTATAGTTCTTCCACTTGATAAATTTCATATTGTTTTTGCTTTCTTTAAATCAAATATCAATTTTATTTGCATTTATAAACATTCAATATTTAAAATAGATAAATATTTAGGGACGAACAGCTGCTTCTACAAATGCATTCATAAAGCCAAGAAAGCATAAATATATAAAAATATATATACATATATATATATATATATACATATATATGGAAGCTTATTATCTCTTTTTTAAGAACATAATGAAAACGAAACATAAACTTTGCTTACTAAATACATGTACAAAAAAAAAAAAAAATGTTAATAAAACACACGACAATTATGCAAGAGAGAGGCCACGTGAGAATAAACCAAGCTAACAGTTAAGGCGATAGAAAGAGCGAAGAGGATAATAAGAGAGAGAAACATGCGCATGCAGTGATATGCTCGCATGTAAACAATGCAAATTGAAAGAGTTATTATGAAGAAAATAGAAGGAAAAAACTGCACATGTTAAGCCGGTTTGTGTAATATCAACAGCCGGCTAACTACTAACTCTTGTCATACATTAATCCATACATGCAAACATGCATATATCGTGCATGTATCATACATAAACACAGCATAGGCATATGAACAACACATATGCAAAAAAAATGTGTGCATGCATACACGTACACATTCGCTCTCTCTCTCTCTCTCTCTTCAAAATGTTTGCAAGGGAATTAATATGCGGATAACTTAAACACATGGGAGGGATGCAGAGAGATACCATGCAATGCAATCTTTTCTTTTATACAAAACGTTAAGGTTTCTCAAAGCGTTTTATCGATGAGGGGGTGGTTCAGTAAGGATTCGTTATAGATTGGTAGTTAAGTTTTAATACGTATTGGGAGCTCGGAGTTCTCATATGGTTATAAAAGTTTATTCACATACATAATCATTCACAAGAACGTGCTTTCTTGTTGTATGTGTGCAAAGGCTTACATACTCGTTCAATATATGAAACAGTGCTAAAGTTTGTTTAGCGTTTGCTCTGAGAGGATTTCTTTTATTACCTGTCACCACAAGGGGATTGCTGGGATTGTTATTGTAACATTTTATTTGCTCTGAGAGGATTTTTTTTTTTTTTTTTTGAGTACTGGGCAGCACTAGGGAATTTCCAGTATTGCTATTGTTGAATTTGGTTTGCTCTGAGAGGATTTATTTAATTACTTGGCACCACCAGGGAATTGCTGCCATTGTTATTGTAGAGTTTTGTTTGTTCTGAGAGGATGACTTTGATCACTTGGCACCACTAGTGCATCGCTAGTATTGCTACTGTCAAATTTGATTGGCTTTGAGTGGATTTTTTTTTTTGATCACTTGGCACCACTAGAGGATTGCAAGCATTATTATTGTAAGGTCTTAGTTGTTCTGATTGGGTTTATTTGATTACTTGGCACCACCAGAGAATTGCTAGCATTGTTATTGTAGCGTTTTGTTTGCTTCGAGAGGATGTCTTTGATCACTTGGCACCATTAGTGCATCGCTAGTATTGCTACTGTCAAATTTGACTTGCTTTGAAAGTATATCGCTGATCATTTGGCACCACTAAGGTATTGCTAGTATTGCTACTGTCAAATTTGATTTGCTTTGAAAGCATATTGTTGATCACTTGGCATCACTAAGGTATTGCTAGTATTGCTACTGTCAAAATTGATTTGCTTTGAGAGTATTTTGTTGATTACTTGGCACCACTAGAGGATTACAGGCATTGTTATTGTAAGGTTTTATTTTCTCTGAGAGGATTACTTTGATTACTTGGCACCACTGAGGGATTGCTGGCATTGTTATTGTAACATTTTATTTGCTCTGACAGGAGACTGAAAATGAGAGAAAAAAATAGGAGAGAATACAATCGCTTATATGAATATCATGAATATAAATCTAAACATTTTCTAGATTTTTTTTCAGTTGCATTTTTCTCTTTCATCGTAAAAGATGATGAATTTTTTGTCGCGAGTATATAAAAAGTCGTAACATTAAATGAAAGACTAAAGTCTTATATATGAAAAAGACTCTAAGAATATTTTTTATTATATACTTTATGTTACTTCGATAGTACGAAAAAAATAAAGAACAAAAAAAAAAAAAAAAAAAAAGAACGTTTAAAACTGTTCTGTGTTCAATTAAAGGAAAAATTTTTGTAAGACATGAAAAGCTGTAAAACCGGTTAAAGTAGAAATGATTTTTTATATAGAAGTAAAAAAACACACAAACAAAAGAGAAGGAAAAATTCTCAAATCAAACTCAATCATAATCAAAATGTTATAAATAAAAAAACAAAAAATAACGAAAATTTAAAAAATTGGGGAAAAAAAAACTTCAAAAATTACTTTTGTGCTTTCTCACTACTCGTAATCTTAAGTAAATGCTTAATAAAACGTAAAATTTAATCCCTCATCATAGCAGTAGAGGCGAAAGTGCCATTTTACAGAATCACGGAAGTCCGAGTGAGTGGTTTTTCTATGTATTTTATATTGCTTTTTTTATGAACTAAAAAAAAAAACAAAATAAACGCAAAAGAATATGAAAAACAAAAATAACAAAACTTCACTGCTGCGTTGTTGTTTGTCTTCTATTTTTGTTTTTGTTTCTTCTCGAGTCTTATCTGAAAAAGCACATAAGGACCGAAAATAACAGTAAAACAAAAATTACAAGAGCAAGCATCATCGCCACCGTCATAAAGTAACACTGGCAGCAGCGGAGAATGAATAACTAGGCAAAGTGTCATTTTTCACTCCCCCACAAGAACTAAAAAAGTTTTGTTTTATTACCGCCGGAAACCGCGAAACAGTATATAAACGAATTTACTACATTACAACTGTGCGTTGCGTGTGCCTGTGTGTAAGAATGTCCAGCTAAGCCCGAGTGTAGATGACGGTAGATATGTTTGATACGTTGTCTAGACCAAACCATTTTGTTTTTCTAGACATGCAGGGATATATGTCTCGCATTCATTTTTATTTTATTCCGTTTAGTTAAGTTTCATAACTTTTTGCCAGTGATTTTGATGTCATTCGCGGTTATTCTTATATCCACTAGCGAAGTATGGATATATGATAAGATCTCTTATTGCCTGCAACATCTAGAAAAACACTCGCCTGACTCTTAATAAGCTATATATATATATATATATATATATATATAAAGACGAGGTAGACTTGATTTGTCCTTTCGTCTTGTAAATGATTGTTCACGTTCGGAAACGTAAATCAATTGTGAAAAGTGAATTTATTTTATCACAATTGTTAAAAAACTAAAGCTGACACATTATAGTCCTAAAAGTGATCCATCCACACTCGCATACTGAGCCGACCATAGTTACTTGAATAGTCGGCATCTATTTTTATAGCGGTCTAACATGGAGGGTATTAAAGATTCGGCTATAATGGAGAACAATTTGTTTGGTTTTTCTCTTTTTTTTTTTGCTGGTGTCTGAAGTTCATGTCTTCCTGGTTGGTTAACATTTCTTGAGCTTTTTTGGCAGTTTTTTAATTCTATTTTTTTTATTCTTTTTTATTTCTTCTAATGGTTGGTTGGTATCCTGGTGTTGATTTAATATAATAACTGTCATCAATTACGCCCTATGAGTGCTTGCGTTGCGTGTAAATATTTGCTGGTCAACGTGATACTAATTCCAAATAAAGATTCGTAGGGAAATGGTTATCAAATTTTTTTGCGGAAAGTCAGAAAATTGTCATGCAAGATAAAATTTATGACTTCTTTGACCATGCTAAAGCATTTTTCAATGATTACTATTTTTCCATGATTTTTTATTTTAAAAACTTCGAATGGCTTTCTAAATTATTTACTTTTCCGTTAACAATGATAAATCATCATTTTCTTTTTTTTTCCGACGATCAACCAGTCACAGTATGTGTTCTATATGTGCGGGAACGAAGGGAATCAGGAAGAGTTATAGGAAGAGAGGGCTGGAGTAAGGTAGTACTGTTTGTGAACATTCGAGTTGAAAATGGGGACATTAGGTACGATGGGAAAGACCACTGTTGGTAGATCGTTATAAAGGCGCACAGTATGGTCAAAAAAACGACGAATCGTATTGTGTTCTGCGGTATACAGGCAAATCTAAGACGAATGGGTACGAAGGTTGAGAAAGCCGTGACGTTCTTTTAAAGCATTCAATTGGTGGACAAATCTCTTTTATCTCTGTGGGGCACTTGTGCTAAATATACATGTACATAAACGGAAGACAATCTGCATTACTCAAGGTTATCGAGAGTTTTGTATACACTTCCATTGTCGATGAGCGCCTGAGCCGTTTATTCCATGCGATCGAGGACCTCCAAATACAGGTCGGATGCTCTCGTCCATACATGCGTGCTATACTTTAACTTTGGCTGGCGACGTAAATGCGGCGGATGCCAGCTGCAGTGAAGTATTTTTTGCACCGCTTTAAAAAAAACCTAAGCCTTTAAACACATATTCTGTCCACCAAACATCGCTTTGTACTTTCATATCGCCTTTTCTTCATTGGCACCGCCGAAAAATCGGGCATTAGAACTTATCTCATTTGCTTAACTTTATTCAGGTATTTTTGTATGAAGTCACAAGCGTGATTCGACTTGCGGTGTTTGTTCTGTATCTCGTTGCATGGTCTCTTTCTGAACCAACACGAACGACGCACTTTGCCGTTGTCTGCAAATGAGTAGATAGGGTTTTCTGTTTTCTGCGCAGGAAGTTGTTAATGAACACCACGAAGAAAGAGGGGCGAAAGAACTGAGCCCTGTGGTCGTTAACCTGCATTTAAATAAAATTTGTTTGAAGAACACTCGTTGACTGCAACTCTTATCCATGCCATACCCTGCCGAATGCTTAGTAGATATCTCAGGCAACGATCTTACTTTTAACAAAGGGGCGAATAGCTCGTTTCTGAGACGAGACATTAGACTTCTGCACTATTCTTTTCTCTTCTTTTTTCTTCTGTCGGTTTTAATCTTTTCGGTCTTTTGCTTGTCACTCGTCTTCTCTCCACTTTCTAGTCTTTTTTCTTCTTTTTTATCTTCTGTTTTTGTTTTCTTTATCTTGTCTTTCTTCGTCCTGACTTTTCATCTATTTTATTCTATCTTATGTTGTCTTGTCTTCTTTTTATCATGTCCTGTCTTATCTTGCCTTGCTTTGTCCTCTCTTCTTTTCTTTTCCATAAGGTCTTTGGTTTTCTCGTATTCCCTCTCCTTTCTTTTTAATATCTCTCCTTTCTCATCTTTTACCACTTATTTTCATCTTCTTAATTTTTTGTATATTCGCTGTTCCTCTTCGTACTGTAAACATTGAATCGATTTTCATAGTCGTGGATCTATTTCATTGCCGTATATACGAGCGGACAATGGTCTAATGAGTAGTTTAAAAAATTTTGCGTCTCTTGGAGGACGAGATATATATATATATATATGTATTTATGAATTCGATTCATACGTCCTTCAGAACTAACTAACACTATCCACAGTACTGAGCTCAATCTTTTTGAAACTGCAAAATATCTACCTTTGTAATTTTAGTTCTCCTCTCTTGGCTATCTAAGACTCAACCCAGAAAAAGTTACAATTTCCTCACTTGTCGTGTTTTGACAAACCTTTCATCGAATATAGTCCAAATTTAGTGTATAGTTAAGTAGAACTTTCATTTTTCTTTTCTTTTATACAAAACGTCTTTAAAGCGCTTTCCAACAACCTTCTTGTAAAATAAATAAATGATAATAAAATAAGAATTAAAAAAAAAAAAAAAAAAAAAAAGGAATAAAAAAACAAAAGAAATGATTAATAAAAGAAAAATCCCAGAGAAAGTGCCGAAAAAATTCAAGAGTAAAATGTAAACAATTGCAGCCTCCTTGTCTAGACTACCAGACAAAGCTACACAATGCTTTACAAGCAATTTTACAACCAACAAACCATAAAGTATACTCACATACTTAAACAAATTCTCTTATGCACAGTTATAGCTGGAAGCACACATATGCATGCATTCGTCTATCTCTGATAGTTTGATTTAAACATGTGTTACTATGGTAAAGTTTCCAAAAAACCAACTACTGTTCTACACAACGGTAAGAACAACAAAAAACTGTAATAGGCAAAAAACACAGTTTACCCAAAAAAAAAAAAAAATAATAAAATTCAATATTCGCCCATAGGCACAAGCAGGGGTACCCAAAAATAAAATAAGGGAAAAAACAAAATTAACCCAAAAAAAAAAAAAAAAGTGAATAAAAGGAGCAAGACGAGCTAAGGGACTATTCGCAAAGAGGAGATTGTATTTCAATATTTTTTTTGTATTCTTCAATGAATTCAATCCGAAATCGTTTGAATCATAGTTTTGAGGACACAAGAGCACTTGTAGACATTTTTTATATTCTTAATTAAATGAAATTGAGACAGAAGGCATTTTTATCGACAATCAACTCAATATATTTTGAATAAGATTTTGATCAATAACTTTTCACCTCACAGTGTGAACAACAATATAAATTACATTCGTTAATATGAGTTTATTTCCAAAAAAATATTGATTCCAATGGCCTTAGAAGCTTAGCTTGATCTTGGAGCTTCGGCCATTACATAGGACTCATAGCACTGATATTATCTTTCCACGACATGGATTACCGCTTACAATAAACGGTATATTGTATCGTCAGTGAATTGACATATAATTTAATAACAAAATCATTTATATCACTTTGCCAAATTGATAATAAAGATGACCAAGCTGACACGCTAATATTATGCCTAGAATGAATATATTGGAATCCTTTGGCTCGTTGGCACAATACCTTATGAATAACTCGTCGAAGAAGAGAACAACTTATATGAGCATAATAATGAGCATAATAATCTCATCAAAGTAGTTGATATAAGGCATTCAAGTGTTCACAGATTTCCACTTACTTTTCTCACATATTCTACACTCTACATTCCTTTAACAAAGAAGGATGAAAAGATAAAAAAAAAAAAAAAAAAACAGTTTGTGCATAATTTGTACATAATTTGCAGAGCATAAGGAATAATTGAATTCTATGTTGCAGCTCTAATGTATTTGAAGAGAGAATTGAAGAATATAAACGCTTTTGTATTAAAAATTTGATCAATTGGAGCAATGCTTAAGCTTTATATTTTTTCTGGCATCTACCTTACAAAGTTTCTTTTTTGACCCAAAACTGAAATGAATCACTCTCCTGTAGATAAAAAACAAAAAAAATGTCTTCTGTTTTTTTTTTTTTTCGTTTTTATTTAGGCCGAAATTTCTCGTTCCGCAAAAGCTGACAAATACTAAATTACGAATAACTTCGTTAAGCTTATTTTAACAAATGACGAGCCGCATTTGGCGTCGTCTCATACAATGAAGCTCACTATTTTGTGTTCATTTTATTACTTCTCGCAAAAGTCAACAAAAATTATTTGTACCCCTCCATTGCAAGGGCTTTCGGCAATGATCCGAC